TGGATCAGCCTGATGAAGGTGCTGATAACACAACCAAACAAATGCGACACGCTTTTATCCTCCACTAACTGGAACTTTCTACGCGTCCTTGACATGTTTACATCTGAGGCGCCATGGGATATACTGCTGCTTCCTTTCGCTATGCTGGGAAGAAAAGGAAGCGCACCCCGGCTCAAAAACGGCACATGGCGGGGCTTGGAGGCGGAACGGCATCCACGTCTTCTCTCACACCTTCTGATGCTGGCAAGGAGAACGAGACACCTTCCCAACTCCAAAAGGCAAAGGAGCATGGGGATAACTATCAACAAATGTTGTATAACGGCAGGAAGAAGCTGAAAAGGTCCCACTAGGCCAATGCGGATCAGTCTGCGGTACTCGCAGAAACTCCTCTCGAAAACAAGCAGCTTCACGCCGAGGTTGACCATCTAACAGCCGAGGTTACGGGTCTGGACACCGAGTCATCCATGCTTCGGGACGAAGTTGCATCCCAAAAATCAGCTCGGAGCACAGCAAGCAAAAAACTCCATTCACTCACCGAAAAAATCCGCCGAATTCCTGCTCGAATCAACACTGCTGCTACCAGGGCAAAATTGCAAGCCAAGGATGAGCTATCGCAGCTGTTCTCCTTCGCCTTGAAGGAGAAAGGTGCTGTTCCGGACTCGACAAGAGACATGATCAATGATCTTGTTGCGCTTGATGGTGTACGCCCGAATAAAGTTATCGGTGTCTTGAAGTGCATTGCGGGGAAGCTCGGGATTGGGGTCACTGGGAATGCATCGGATCGCACTGTACGAATGATTGTGAAAGAGGGTGGTGTAGCATCTCAGATGCAGTTTGTCGAAGCTGCTGGAACGTCAAAAGGTGCTTGAATGTTCATCTTACGTTCTATTCATTCTGACACTGATTCCTCCGAATGTTTGACAGGTATCACTCCCAGCAGCGACGGAAATAGCCACAAGAAAATCAACCTCGAGTCGCGTCGTGCTACAATCGTCAATCAGAATAACGAGAAACAGACATTCTTTCTGGGGATCGGAATGGCGATAAATCATACAAGCGAGGCCCAGCTCGAGGGCTGGGAGGAGCTCATCGAGGCCATGTATCAGATCTACAAGACCTCACCCCGTTGCGAGATGGCCGATGATGCCCGCGCTTTTTGGCTGAAAGTTACTGGATGGCATTCGGACCATGCCAAGGACCAGAAGAAACTCTTCCGTCTGGTGGCTGCACTGAAACTCTGGTTGGAACGCGAACACAGAGGAGAACAGACTGTTGGAGCTCGGAGATCAACGGAGTAGATAATCACATCACATGCCAGTCACATATATAGTCCGGAGCCAGGTAATTGATCCGGGCTTTTCGCCCCTCCATCTGCGCCCCATCTGAGAACTTGCCTCTTCGGCCCCCATCTGTGCAGACTATTGCGCAGATGGCACCAGCAGAGTGGGCCGAGATGCTCTTCGAAATCTCACATGAAGCGGTGACAGCAGCGGGCGGGATCACGGCATGGGAGAAAGTCGGCGAGGCGACCGCTGCGCGCTTCATGACGCAACATTCACAGAGTTCATACGTGCGATAGGGCAGGAGGCTTTTGACAAGTTGACACTCGAGGAGAAGCAGAACATCGATCCTTTCATCTGGGGAGGCTGCTGCATGCACAAGAGCCTGAACATCTTTAAAGGCGCAGTTCTTGCGATGCAGCAATGGTGGGGAGACAACAATCTTCCCGGGCCGCTCAAGATGTATAACCGTGACAATGCGGCCGCGGTTTCACTTGGTGAAGGGACCGGGGCTGCTGCGCGGGCAGAGGATCGGACCTGCGGAGGTGCTATCAAAATTTCTAGTCTCGCAGGTGCAATTTTCCGGCACAAGGATCGCAAACACGGCCAGCAGGACACCCTTTGGTACTTCTGGGATCATGAAACAGGCTTCAACATTTGCTTCCCCGACACGAGCCATACCCGCTTCCAAGCGCATGTTGGTGCTTGTGAAATCATTGTTCTCCATATGGATCTGCTCCTTCAGTTCCTTGTGTACGTGCGAGAGAATAAAGCAAGCCGCACCCTTAACCACATGGAGCTGAACGTCGAGCGGGGTCTTCTATGCTGGTATACGCGGCGCGAATTTGTAGTGATCGCCCTTCTCAATCAGAGCATTGAAGTACCCTACATGCTCGAGGTTAGTGATGGTCTTTCTTGACAGATAGTTGATTGAATTTAACTTGTTCGTAGGTACGCGGACCCTTACGCACTGAGGATAACCTTCTCAAGCTCGGGGAGCTACATAAGAAGGTTAAGGCACACCTTGAAAAGATCATTGCTAACCCGAAACTTGTCACGGGCGCGGATGCAGCCTTTGAGACTACAGCTCTCAATGGGCGGCCTTGGGAAAAGCCGGAAGTTGTGTATGCTGCGTTGGCCAGAATCTCCGAGTGGAAGCTCCAATATGTTGATGAACTTGTCGTTGCCTATTGCAAAGGCGCGTATGGCTGTAATAGTGCGACATTATTATTTGCAACACCATCTGGTGTTTTTCATGAACATTTCCACCACTTGGAGTGTGTTGCAATTTTTTTGCACAGGGTTGTACCTCATCCACAGAATTTGCACACCTAATGAACCAACAAAATGACAGGGCCAGGCATGCCCTCAGAATTACACAACCATATTTGTCTCTTCATAAAATAACACAGGTTGATGTGCCAGATTTATACACATGTTCAACACCAACGTAAAATGCACAGCTTAAGAACATCTCGAGATTTAGATTCACTGCTTCATCACTTCAGGCTACCTCAAACCAGACCTCATTAGGACCATTCCGGTGAATGAGTAATGGGCCCTAAGGAGGTCCGAAACCTGGTTGCATCCCATGTGTATGGGTGCATCCAGGGTGATGGATGCATCCACCCCAGTACCACCAGGGATGTACCCAGGTGTCACGTCACCCTGCATATGGATGCATCCAGCATCCCCCAGAGCCCAGCTCGTTTTGGGGGTTCCAGGGCCCCTGCAGGACCTAAATCGTGGCCCCTACTGGGCCCTGCCCCTGGGACTCATCGTGCCTCTCCTGGGCATGTATAGAGTACACCATATGCTGCCTGCATGCCTGCAGATGCTGGCTAGGGGATGTTCTCTGGTCCAGGGTACATTTGGTAGCCCTGCCTGCGTGCATACATTCAGTAGCATTGCCTGCGTGCATGCGGTAGCCTTGCCTGCGTGCGTACATTCAATAGCCCTGCCTGCGTGCGTACATTTCGTACCATTGCCTGTGTGCGTGCGGTAGCCTTGCCTGCGTGTGTACATTCAATAGCCGTGCCTGCGTGCGTACATTCCGTACCATGCCTGCATGCATTCCGTAGCCTTGCCTGTGTGCATTCGGTAGCCTTGCTTGTGTGCGTACATTCAGTAGCAGTGCCTGTGTGCGTACATTCAGTAGCCTGGCCTGCATACATTCCATAGCCCTGCCTGCATGCATACATTCAGTAGCCCGGCCTGCATGCATACACTCGGTAGCCTGGCCTGCATGCGTACATTCAGTAGCATTGCCTGTGTGCGTACATTCGGTAGCATTGCCTGCATGCGTACATTTGGTAGCCCAGCCTGCATGCATGCATACATTCGGTAGCCCGGCCTGCATGCGTACATTCCATACCATTGCCTGCATGCATTCGGTAGCCTTGCCTGCATGCATACATTCAATAGCCCTGCCTGCATGCATACATTCCATACCATTGCCTGCATGCATTCCGTAGCCCTGCCTGCATGCGTACATTCTGTAGCATTGCCTATGTGCGTACATTCCGTAGCCCTGCCTGCGTGCGTACATTCAGTAGCCCTGCCTGCATGCATTTGGTAGCCCGGCCTGCATGCATGCATACATTCAGTAGCCCGGCTTGCATGCATACATTCGGTAGCCCGGCCTGTGTGCATATATTCGGTAGCATTGCCTGCATGCATGCGTACATTCGGTAGCCCTGCCTGCGTGCGTACATTCGGTAGCATTGCCTGCATGCATTCGGTAGCCTGGCCTGCATACATTCAGTAGCAGTGCCTGCGTGCGTACATTCGGTAGCCCAGCCCGCATGCATGCATTTGGTAGCATTTTACAACCCCGTAGCCTTGCAGTTACATCCGGTAGCCTTGCCTTGCCTGCGCTCAGTCCAGCTTGTAGTAGCTGGTAGCCTTGCCTTTCATATCATAGCTTTAGCATGCGATTGCATGCCCTATCATCTCGTTTGTATCACATTCAATTACTGAAAATCCCCTTTCATGGATGCATCCAGACTCCCAGGGAGAAGGACCTATGGATGCACCCATTTATAATTTTTGAGGGGGCCATGGATGCATCCATTCTACATTTTAACAGGCCATGGATGCATCCGGTGGGTACAAAAAATGATATGGATGCCTCCATGCTGTTCACACCTGGATGCGACCACATACGGTGGACACATCCATGTTTTATATTTTTTGGAGTCCTGGATGTACCCATATTCCGCCATGTGGACCTGGTTGCATCCACTCCGGGTGGATGCAACCATTGGTACTACGATATATGCTGGTTGCATCCATGCCCAGATGGGTGCATCCATCGGTTTATTTATTTATTTAGATACTGGATGCATCCACTGCTAGTGGACCCATCCATCCCCATGGATGGATCCATGGCCTTTTGTTTGGTTCCCCGATGGATGTGTCCACCGTATGTGGATGCATCCATTGGTCCCTACTGGATGCATCCACATGTCTCAAGCTCATGTGGATGCATCCATTGGCAGCCAAACCACTGGATGGATGCATCCAGGATTTGAAAAGACTTGTGTTTTTTCCGCAATTTTTTTTATAGACTTGTTATTTTTTAATTGTTGTTTTCGGCCACAATTGCCTTATTGGTGCAGTAGCGGTTGTTTAGTTCATGTTTGCCGCACGTCATATAAATAAATGTCTGTCATTCACTTTACGCGTAGATATGTCTGAGTATATACCATATACCTTTATGGCCATATGGCTTAGTGGTTAAAGCCTGGCACCAGTGTAATTTTTGTAAACTCTGGTACCTCCTCACGTGGGTTCGAATCCCAGTACGGCCTTCTCTTATTCGCTTGCTTTTTTTCTTTATCGTTCCTCACGATGTCTATCTTTTGTTCAAAAAGAAACAAGATGCCAAGCGGAACCAAACAAACAACCGCTAGCAGCCCAAAAAGGAAATTTTCATAATTGGATGGATATACAAGTCAGACAACGAAGAGGAAGATGTAACAACGGTAATAGATGGTAAGGCATGGGTAATTAAAACGAGCTTAATGATCTGTCATAGGCGGCGGGACATCCTGCCGCCAGGTAAGGATCCTGTCCGTGAGGGGCCGGCCGAGGAAGCGGCTAATGGCTTCGGACAAATCTTCTTCCCCGGTGTCATAGTGAGAGCGGTTGATGCGGTGACGCAGCGTCGACGCCAGATCTCTGGCTGAGGGAGGAGGCAGCGGATTGGACGCGGGGGTATCTGCATTATTTGATAAAATTAGCCTGGTGGTGGAATAGAAGGTATGGGAAGAACTGACCATTGATGCTGTCGTCCACAAGAGACGGCATGCTGTCGTGCACACTGAGGCTTTCGCAGCTGGTGACGCTGGTGGTGGAGCGAGCGCCGTCCAAGATGTCGTCCGAGGTGGCGGGGACATCCTCGACCACGCTGTCTTCGGCATCGTCCTGGATGGCGGCGGCGGCATCGTCGTCCGCGACGGCAGCGTTGAATCCGTCCAGTCCAGGGCCGTGCGCTACATCGAAATGAGTCAAAGGATGGGGGATTCTGCAAAAGAGATGCACGGACGGTAACTCCGTTGGGGAGCACCAAAAAATGCAAGGAGCCGCCGTCGACACCATGAGCGGCGACTGAAGGAAGATACAATCAGCATATTGCATGGATAAAGAATAAAGGCTGCCCACCATATGCAGTAGCGTGCGGCCCCAAGCTAGCGGCAAAAGCGCGGTCCGCTGGAGCAAGATAGTGAGGGGAGGGGGTAAAAGCAAAGGAAGACCACATACCGGTGTTGAAGTGCCGTTCTATCACGTCTGCGTCCGCGTGAAGTAGTTCTCGAGCTGAATCATTAAGTTAGCTTCAAAACATGGGTGGCACCAGAGTCTACTCACCGAAATAGTCATCCTCCCAGAGCGCCTGCAGCACGGGTGCCACGGCAGCCGCCTGCCTAGCGACGGCGAGCACGTTCATCTGATAATGAAGTGGTGTCGTCGGCCTCAGGAATGGCAGGGGATCTTGAATGTTGGTCTGCGGGACGCGGTGAACACGGAGAGGGCCGCGGCTGAGGAACTCGGGGCGCGCGTTGAGCTCGACGATCCTGCGGTGCTCTTCGTGCTCTTGCCTAAACTGCTGAAGACGACGCTGGTCGAGGTGCCCGGTAGAACCCAACTCCCCGAGGTACATGGCGGCATTCGGGAAGAACTGTGATAGCACGCTCTGGCTAAGCCTCGGGAGGGCCCGTGGCGCGGGGTTGGGGCGGGATGGGGCACGAAGCGCAAGGGAGGTAAGATTAACAGCGAAGTAGTCGGTGAGGAGGGATTGTGCGCGCGCCATTAGTGCAGGAAGTCGAGGGGGGACTGCAGGAACGTACCCGGATCCTCCATTTATATAAACCGAGGCCACACCATGGCCACACCATTGTTGCGGCGATCGAGGTCCACGCCACCCGTTTGGGTAAACTTCACTTTCCATCGTTCAGGCGCCCGTTCTGGCAACCTTCCGAGTACATTGTCGACACATTAGCGCCTTTTGCCTGTCCGATCGTCAGCCTGGATTCGAACGCGGCTATCGTACTCACATACGGTGCACGCCTTACTGTTCTTCGCTTGGATTTAGATGCCGAAATTTACTTGCCTCTCGTCTAGTAGTCTTTCTCGATTATGTGTTCGATTACATGCACACGCTACACAATTACAATACTACTGACTACATTACATGGTGGTGGTGGTCGAGAGCAAGAGGGAAATAGGCGCCGGTCACCATCAGCGCGTTACTTGAGGTGACCGGCGTCGGCAGAACCTCGGCACGGGAACGCGACCACGTGCCTCGTCGCGTCGCGTCACAAAGACCCTTAAAATACATGTTATACGTCGAATAAATTGTCGTCAGAAGCCCACATCGCCTCGTCCTCGTCGGCACCACCCCTGTGATTATCCGCCCGCTCGACAGCCTCCAAAACCTGGAACAAATCGTCGTCGTCGTCCAACTCGTCGTCCTCCGAGTCCTCCGAGTCATATCCGTCGCCCCAGGACGCCGTAACTTCCTCGATCTGGCAGGCCAACAATTCGGCCCTCGTGGGACCCCACTCCAGAACGTTGGTCACGTCGAACGGCAGACGGTCCAAGGACTTCTTCCACAGAACGCAGAGTTGTATCAGTTCCTTGCGCCGGAGCTGGAACTGATATTTAATTGCACCTGTCTCGGTGGTGAGTATTCTGCGCCAGGAACGGAGCTGAGCGACATACCTTCACTCAGTGAGATCGCCTGTTCTACCGCCTGCCACTCGGTGGCAAACCAAATCTGTAGGTGTTTCCGCTCTCTCTTCAAACGGGGCGCCTCCTCCTCGCATTGATCCTTCTGCAGCAAGGCATGGATGCCCGACCGTACGTTGTCGTCGCTAAGCCACCGCGGCGGGGTGCCCTCCTGGTCGTCCAAGCCCAAATCTTGCCAGATCACGTCGTCGACGTCCAACTGGTATAGCCCCTTTGAAGGAACAGGCAGCGGTGCCACCGCTCCGGCCGGCGCTTGCTTGGCCTTAATGAGGGCGGCGATTTCCTCGCAGATTTTGTTGTAAGAGTTGGCGAGCTTCGCGATATTAGGCTCGCGCCGCTTGATGGCTTGGCCCGCGTGCTCGTTGTGTTGATTCTCTGAACAAAAGGTGAGCGAGCAAGAAAATGTTGGGGATGCTAGCCACACACCACTTCTGGTACGTCGAAAGGACCACTCTATTGGGTCCAACTCAAATTTCCGATCCCGCAGCTTCCCTCGCAAACACTCCTTCAATGCCCTCCCGTTCAGGCGCGCCGTATAATATTTACTGTGCTGGAGCTTCTTCAGCATCGTGGAATCTGTGACTCCCAGTTCGCGCTCGAGTCGCATAGACCGGGCTTTCGCAGCCTGCCATGTTTCGCAGGCTCTGGGCAGGTGCATCTGGGCGTAAAGACGAACATCATCTGTGCAATCTCGTTCCTGCAAAGATTCGCCCAGCGATGCCACCCGCTCGAACAGCTGCTGTGCCTTCTGACGAGCCTCCAGGACTTGCTCGACGGCAGCTTGTCCTGCACTTTTCGATTGACCTGATAAATCGGTCAGCGCACGTTATCCTTGGGTTAGGAAGTAGCTTACGCCGCATGGGCTTGGTCTGTACGGCGATTTGTTTTGCCCATTCTGCTCGCAACACGTCCTCGGCAATGCCACACGACGTTAAGTCTTCTAACGCGTCACGTAGTTTCCCTTCACAGTGAGCCGACCGGTGGACGAGCCATCCTGCGAGTCGTCCCAGGCTCGCCTTATCCGCGTGCTCGATATGGACGTCGATGGTGTAGAGGCGATGGTGATACTGCCAAGTAGATTAGTTACAGCTCAAAAATGAACGAATAAACCCTTGGACGCACACCAGAGACACGCAGATATGCGATAAGTTTGCTAATGGAATGCCAAAAGTGTTCGCATCCCTCTCCGTTCGTGAATCCAAAGCTGCAACATTTGAGAGGATGGTAGATCATTTGACATGGCCAGCGGTGCCCGAAGGCATGGAAGACGGAGACCGCGAACTGAATGCGGTCCAGGTACCGATCTAAAAAGCCGAACTTGACGCAAGAGCGATGCAATTGGCACGCTATGTCGTATAATACACCCACTCGGATGTTTGCGGGCAGGTGCTGGAAAAGCATCTCCAGGAGAACAAGTACGTAGTACTGTTTCTCGCCAGCGGTGCGCATGTTGACGAGCCAGAGGACTCTGTCGTGGCGGCACAGCAGCCCCATGATCCCTGTATCATCGAAAAACTTCGTGCTGGCCGTCTCCCGCTTCTTGTCCGCCGCTTTGAAAGACGATTTGCACTCGTCCAACACCGAGCGCGGAACTTTCAGGTTCGCGCCTTCGTAGCTGTCCTCCGCCTCATCTGTTTGCAGCTGTTTGGTTGGACGAGGTCTGGACGGCCGAACGTCATCCACATGCGCCCCCATTTGATCAGCGGTGGGCTCAGGGACAAAGACGGTGTTCGGATGGGTGCGCGGTGGATCGCGGGCACCTTTTCGTCGGCGCTTCTGAGTAAAACATGCATCGGCGCATACGTGGATGTCCACCTGCTGCGATGGGTCATGCACGAGGCCGCCGAAACACGTGGGACATCAACTAATGAGGTAGTCGCTGGGCCGCGCATGGGGTGGAGGCTCGGGAAATGGATTCGATGGTGGGGGGGCTTCCTCCTCGCTATCCTCGTTGTCGGAGAGGGAGGCGGCGGCAGGCCTGCGGCATTGCCTGGCACGGGAAGGGGCGGAGGGGACAGGCCGACCGGTTGGCGTTGAAGGGATTGGGCACGGTGTCGACGGCGCTGGTGTACTGGAGCGGGAGCGCGTTGACGCAGACGCAGCACCCTCTTCCTCTTCATTGGCATTCTCGACGGCGCTGTCGTGGCCATCAGGAGAATCCACTCGTACGGCGTCGCACGCTGCAGCGAGGATCATGTCGATTTTGCTATTGGTCGCATGTTGCAAGCTGCTATACCACTCCAGCGCGTTGCCGAATCGGATGCGGAGGGTATCCTGAATGAACCTCAGGTTAGTCTGGTCTCGCCCTGAGGGCCGCGTATCACATACTTTGGTAGTTAACTTATATCCCCGACTCGAAAGGAAACTTTCCAGCATGTTGCAAAAGGCAGTGTTGTTGGGGGGCAAATTAACGAACAAACGAGCGACAAAGTCGAGGACATGGAGATCGATGGCGAGGCTCGGATGTCGAGGAGAGCAGGCGAATAGTCCCGCCTTGAGGAGTTGGGTGGGGGCAGGCTGGCACGCGCATATGCGAAGCTGGAGGTGCTCGATTACTGCGGCA